TGTCCGATTTTTGCATGAAATTGGAGGAAAAATCAGGTAAATTTTCAGCTAGAAATGCCCAAAATTTTCATAGGAACCATCTATAAATTACGTAACGCATTTTTTCGGTATTTTTGAAATGTAGACCCCCTCTCCCTCCCCCTAAAACGTTACATAACTTAGGGACGAGCCCTTGGTGAAAATTAGAGTACAATTTGTAATGGTTCACTGGAAAAAAAAAACACATTGGATCTAGAGTCCAGACTCTTAAAAACATCGACAAGAAAAAGTACTCTTGATACAATCAGAATCTAGCTGAAATCAAGAACCAACCCTCTTAATTTAAGCGGATTTCGTTTTGATTCAAGTAAAAATCCGATTGAATCAAGAGTATTATTTCTTGTCAATGTTTTCCAGAGTCTGGACTCTAGATCCAATGTGTTTTTTTTTCCCCAGTGTTTGGTGACATTAAAATATAGTTACGTTCTTTCGTGAGGGAATCGACGAATTATCACCCTCTAATTTTAATTGCTTCGCCAACCCGGCAACATCGAGTCTGGCACATAATTGAGCAAGGGTTTAGTTATTCATTAAATCCTAGGAGTAGACTGTGCAGTAGTCTCCTACTCCTCGTCCCACAGCCCGCCGGGATCCGGTTGGACTTGCCAGGTTCTGGCGATTTTTTACCAGTTTTCCCGCGCGCCCCCTTAGTCTCGGCGAATTTTAGCCCACCATCTAGTAACCACGGACTCGCTCGGGTTGATGGTGGGTCATCATTGGTCCAGCCAGGTTTGCCAGAATCGCAACCTAATCCTGCCCAACGTGGAATTTGATAGAGTAATTGATGTTTTTTTCATCACAACCTGACGTCATTGTCTAGAATTTTACGTTCCATTATAGTATTCATTCCGCGTCTTAGTGCAAGGTTGTCATGATGTATGCTGCCGTGCTAAGGAAAAACGCCGTATGGACCTTCAGGCGTTGCCAAATTTACTTTGATAAAACGCGAATTTCCTGGTAAACTTATGGAAATTTTCTTCCCAATTTTTCAGGTAATTTTGTTCGCTATCTCACCTTAAGATTTCGAAAATTTAAAGGAAAAATATTCATAACTTTCCTCAAATATAATCATTTTATCGAAGGAAATTTGGCAATACTCAAATGTTCATACTGCGTTTTTCCTTAGCACGGCAGTATGCGTGCTCTTCTTGGTACATGAGACATTAGTGGGGTTTATTCTGCGAATATAAAGCTGTACTTAAAAATAGAACGTTATGTTGTTTTAAAGGCGAGCTTTGCTTCATTATTTGCATAAAATTGTATTTCTTTGCTCAGCTTTCCCTGAAACTTGAACGCGATTCAATGGAAGCTATATTTTGTTATCAATTCCCTACCATATTGATCTGACCGAAATTGAACGCAATTCAACGGTGCTTATATTTTGTCTTCAGATTATGTTATCTGCCGGATCAATAGCAATGATTGTTCAATGGATTTTGCATTATTCGATCTCTATCAGTTGCACTAGCACATCGATTTTTTGCTAGCTTGCACTTTTATTTACTGCAGAATGGAGGAGTTGCAAATGTTGTAACTTTTTTCAATTTCATGTTTAAGAAGAAACTACTGAGTGAAATAAGCATGAGAATGTCTTTGGTTTCTGAAGTAAATAATTATTAGAGGAGGTATGACCAAATTACCTAATCTGCTAAAATGCATCTTTTCAAACGGGATATGTTGTTTGAAAGTTTTCGTCACACAAGGCGGCAGATTTTCTCACATCTATTTTTCTATAATATCCCATGTCTGAAAAAAATCATGAAAAATACAGCGAAGGCAACTCAGTAAGCCCTCTCAGATGCAGCAATACACTTTTTCGTGCAAATTCTCCAGTGTCTATTTTCACCTTTCAAGTGTATTTTCCGAAAGAATACACTATTACACTCTCTCATGTTTAAAAATTGGCGTATGTCCTGTTTTTTCCCCAATTATTCTACTATTTCCAGCATGGAATATTACACTTTATTGAAAAACCGCAGAAGAGAAGTCGGAAACAAGTATGGAATTTTCTTATATGAGCTATACGTCGGGAGGGTGGTGGGGGACTGTGTGCACAAACGTAGAGTTTGCAGCAGCAAAAAAAGGGACAAGAAAATGGTAGGAGTCAAACCAAGAAATGAAGATAGTAATGCAGGTTGCAATTATACCGCAAAGGGGGTGATGGGTCGAGCGGAGGAGATAAAATGGACGAAAAAAAAGAGGGAGACGAAGAAAAAATGCTCTATGCGAATTAAAGCACGGGGAAGAAGGAGGGAAGCGTAGGAGCAAATTAAAGTTGTGAAAAAACGACAGGAAGAGGGAACGAGAGAGAAAGCTGCCACGCAGAGAAAGAACCACTTAACTCCCATCAAAAGCCTATTCTTAGGTGTTGTTTTTGCGTTAGGAAGGGAGTGCGTGTGCGAGACGGAGTGGACGGCGACGAAGAGTGGAAAAAAGGGGACTTATCATGATTCAGAATAAACTATGGATTCCTTAAGTTTAACACGCTCAATATCTGAAATTATATGCTGTAGGTAAGCCATTAATCTTACTCAAACGAAAAGCGTTTTCAGCCTGGGCTCACCGAACATCTCCGCGCGGGCAGACGCAATCCGTTGTTTCTCTCACGAAACAACGTAACTCCAACTCGATGTTGCCAGATTTCTCTACGCAAATTCCATCTTAACCAAGAGAATTTTGAGAATCTCTAACTGAAAATTTTACCAATTTTTCTTCTGATCTCATACAAAGATTAGACAAAGTTTTAACGATAATCATGCAGATATATTATCATAAGAAATTGATTTTTTCGAGTCAATTTTGCAACATTGGAAGGGAGTTACGCTCCTCCGTGCGGGGGACGCGGATTTGACTCCCCGCTTATTATTTCGGACTTCCAAATGTCGCTCAAAGCGTCCGGGCCTTATCTGATACCGGGGTAATTTCTCCCGATCGGGGCATGCTTGCTCCCTTTACTCCCTGTCAGAGGTCATACCCGATTCAGCTCGAACTCAAAGGCGATCGGGTTGATCACGGCCCTGGCGATCAACAATGGCAAGTGTTGATTTCACTCGCGTTCCTCCACTTATCGATTTTCTCCGCTTCGATTCCCGAGATGGTAAAACGAAATATGCCCGTGTTCTCATGAGCTTTCAGTCCAGGGTTCCTATACCATGTTCGTGCCACTTCCCGATTGGTCTATTGGTTGTAGGCCTTTCTTGGGACTCTTAATTTTTAATAATTGATTCACAGAGTTTCAATTAAACAACACCATTTTGGAATGTAGGTATGTAATAAGAAGAAACCGAGATGTTGTGGATAAATTTATTTTAATTTACTGAATCACTTTTCGGCTTACGTCATTTCTAAAGCTTTATGAAAAATTTTGAGCACAAACATATTCACATTTCGAAAGCTTACATCTCAAATAAAAAATGGTCTCAATATGAAAAACATTAGAAATGATAAGGAACTTCATTGAACTCGTGAAAGTTGAAAATACCCGTAAAAGTGCTTCCCTAAATTGAAAGAAATTTATCCATAACACCTAGATCTCTTCTCACTTTATACAGTAATTGATTTGACACAAATTCAATAATTGATTAAGACAAATTCTCAAATTAGATAACTATTGCTACGCGAGGGATGTTTTTGGCATATCTCACAAATTGAAGGCAAAATTGCAATTTGTGTAATCCTCTCACATGTTTCGTGTTATATGTTAAATTATGTATAATTTTTTATTTGATGATTGTGCTGCTCTAGCGATCTCTTCTAGTCCAAAAAGAAGAAATTGATAAAACTTTGATCAGTTGAGCAACTTTTTTTTACAGAAAAGGTGATTTTCGTTTAATTTATCGAGAGGGAAGCGTAGTTGTTACCAGAGAGATGATTATTGGTTATTTCAGCACATGAAACAACGGTAAATGTCCATGCAAAACACAGCAGTCCCGACGGTCTGAAGCCCGCAGTTGAAAAAGCGGAGAATGTTTTCAGGTCAGCTGATACAAGTAGTCGGAAGATGGAGTATGGAGGCGCTAAGCCATAAGTCATTTTAGAGAGGTAGGCCTGGACACGGACAACAGCTCCGCAGTGGAGAGGGCTTTTTTGTGGGTAGAGCAAGAGCTCAAACGAGGGGAAAAATGGACGTATTTCTGCTAAAACGACCTATGTGCCTTGGGATTGCGTGTGACGTAGCTCCTTTTAGCATAAATACGTCCAATTGAGGGTAACACTCGGACTCGCGGGCAGTGTGGTGGTGCGGCTGCGACTGTAGTGGTGAAGTCATTTCCATTCAGTAATTTACTGAGCCTCCTCAGGTCAAAATTTACTAATTAAGATATCTTTAGCGCGGTACTTTATCTCCGAAACTTCAAATCGGCGGAGGCAATAATTTGGTGTTTCCGAAGCGATTAAAACATTCGACGGACTCATGCCCAAATTTTCTCGGATGATTTGTGGCCCATTGTTTTTTCTCCGGTTTTTTGCCCCCGTTTGACTTCCTCAAATTGGATCTTGCTCGGATTTTTGACTGACCTCTTCTCGCAAATCGTCGATCCCGCACGAAAGAACGGAACTACATTGCAATGTTGCCAAATTTCTCCGAGGAAATTGCATTTTTACTAGGAGAATCTTGGCCCATCCTAATTGAGAGTCTCGCTGATTTTTCTCCTCATTTCATATGAAAATAAATAAAAAACTTTTGACAAAAAGTACACAGGTACATTTTTGTAAAAAATTAAATTGTTTCCGTCAACTTTACAAACTTGGAATTGAGTTACGTTCATTTGTACCGGAAACTACAAAATGTGTGTTAACTGGAACCAGTTAGGAATAAGGATTGTGTTTTAATAACATATTCTAAAAGTCTACAAATCTATATTATGAAATTAAAAAATTAAAATAACATTCAACACATACTTTAGGAACTTACTATTATCATTAATTAAAATCAAAATAAAAGTACTTAAATCCGTAAATTACTTAAGTATTTTTCTTCTGATTTTCGTCACGTGATCGAAGCTGAGCTTTAATTGCTGTTTAACATCTGCCAGATTGCGTAGACCATTGTTGCTCGGTTTTTCCAAAGGGCGCTAGAACAAAATATTTGAGATTAAAATAATTATCTGGATAAATTTTCTTTCTTTCCGAAAAAATTTAGAGTTAAAATTATGTTTATAGTTACGATTCAGCTATACTGAGGTTAGTCTTTTCTGAATGAGCATTCCTTTTTTGCACGTGAAACAATACTTAATTTTTATTATTTTTGTATTTTTATTTGATTTTTTAAGGCCTTGGAGAGTACTTGGCATGAATTGCCTTTGAATGGAAGGATATAATTTAGTTAATATTTTTCATTCGTGTGAATTTCTAGCATTTCAATGAAAACATCTAAATTATCAAAATGATTGTAACTTTTGAATAACTAAAACACTTTCAGTTAAATCATATCAACCTCGAGGACTGACTGCACCATTCCAAAAGCATTTTAAAAACCGCCAAAAATAAAAGGAAGGACGTCTGTAGTAGTGGCATTGCGTTCTCTGTGATAGATCGATTGATCTGTCATTCAAACCTATGGAAAAGGATGAACAGGGTATTCGCGACAAACACCTCAATAATCGATTTTTTGCCATGGCTTCAAATGGGTTAAAAAAATATCGATAATTGATAATTCACGCCTCGCCACTGCACTGATCGGCAGCTTTTTACCCAAAAATATTCTACGACTATGAATTTTCTGCAGCCTCAAAACGTTATTACATTGACCTATATAAAAGCGCCTCGTCCTTACCGGTTATATAACTAATCAAATCACAACTGATTGAAGAGGTTGGTGAAATCTCGACTGCGAGGCTTGATCCAGAACTCTGCGAGAGCTCAGTTGGATGCTTGAAAGCGATGAAAAATGGAGTAAGAGATTAGCGGGCTAATGGCTAATGAGCAGGTCAGACAATGCCCCCTTCCACTATTAAAAGCTCTTGTCTGCATCCCCCGCGTGGGCCCTGGAAAACATGGGGCTATACGAGGGACAGGGCGCATCTGGATGTGTAGTTGCGCCTTTTCAGCTGAGCAGTGAATAGACCATCATGAGGCCGGAAATCGATAAATTCAGAGTTCGTTCGCGGTGGTCGTGAGGGCTTGCTTCTCTCTCCGCTGATGTGTTCTGTAGTCTCGCCAAAGTTTCGTCTGCGAACTATCAAGAATCAGATAGTGTCCGTCAGTTGTCTCGTGAAGTGTGATATCCTGTGGGAGGAAAAAATGAACTTTAGAAAGAGAGAATTTTCAATCATCATATAAAAATTTTCGATGTATAGTGCGTTCTTCAAACTCTTCCCTTGTGTTTTTTTCTTCTTTTTTTCTTTTTTTGTAAGTTACAGTGGGCAGGACTGTTGAACCGCGGTAAGAAAATAAGAACCAAGCCACATCAGCTATTGCCGAATTTAAATGGGCCATTTAATTTTTTACGTGAAAACGGTTTTGCGGATTATTGTGCAAATTTCAGCGAATTTTCTGCACAGTACGAAGCAAATTCCTTAAAATGTTCAAAAGAATCCGCAAAAACTTTCTCTTCTAAAAAAAATGAAGTTGCCCTGTTAAATTTTTCAATGACTGATGTGGCTTGGTTTCTTTTTGTTAAACGCGATCCAAGTATCCACACCCAATTGAATCACTGTCATTTAGAAGTTTTGGTCATAAGCTGCTTCGAAACTTTGGTTATTCATGAAGCAGAAATCCGAATTTTACTTTTGTGTCAGAATAGCCGACCAAATACCCTAATAACTAATGAATTACCGGCTGCGGGCCAAAAAATTCCTCAACAAATTCAATTAAAGAAACCTCGATACGCCGATAGAGAGATTTGGCAACTGAGAGTGACATTTCTAACCAATTACCGTGGATATAAATCATAAACTACAAAATTAAGCAACGAAATGAAAAGTATGGAATCAAATCGTGGGCAACCACGCAGTTGCCGAACTGTAAAATTGCATCACTGAGTTGACACGAGGAAATTGCAGATTTCTTTGATGTTTTGAAAAAATATACAATTCAAAGTTTGCATTCACGCTATTCCTGTTTTCAGACTTTCAGTCGGCCTGAATGTTATCGTCTCCTTTTTTTTACAAGTATGAATTCATAACAGATGATCACCGCGAATAAAAATTATATATTAGCGTCGATCGTGTACATATTTGCGTGATTCAGTTACGAGCTACAGATTCAAGCCCGACCTTTTAGCAAGAATCTCAACAGTTATGGTGGGCGAACCACTAGGTGGTGGTGCGTGAAAAATACGGGGCACATATCCACTTTAGGTGGTTTGCACAAGAGTAAATATTAATGAAGTCGACTGTTTCATCTGTGGAAAGTGTTTAAAGTTATCAAATGATTTACAATAGAGAATATCAAAATTGAAAAATAAAAAAAAGTCTGGACCGAGATGTAATAAAGTCATTTGATGAAATCTTTGAGTGAGACTTTATGAAGTAGGGTGCATTAATTAATAAAGTCATGTCTACTGGTTAAATTTAATTTTCAAAAGCTTTTAGGTTTAATTTTTTTTTTGTTTCTATTCTAAATAGCAAAGCCTTGAAATGAAGGAATCTTCACAGCAAAGAATCTACCATTACAAAGCGCAATCTGGCATTGCGGAAGTGTAGAGGAAAAACCGTCATTAATCCTGAGTGACATAAAAGCTCATTTAGCCTAAAGAATTACTAGAAAGTTGTAGCGAATGAATGATCGGTCGGTCAGTTCCTATAAGGATACTAAAGACGTGGATTCCTTGTTTATGATCTCATTTTTATACCTCGTTAATACTGTTATTGTTATGATCTTGTTTTAACGTCTTCATTACCACTGAGTTGTGTCTCAGCTCAAAGTTCTTGCTTGTCTGCGATGAAAACTTACACTGACCACAGGCATACTCACCGCGTTTTTTTGTTCGAGTAAAACAGGAAACCTAAATGTCTTCATGACTGCACCGAGAAAAAAAAGATAGGTAGAATTTACCATTCTTTCACGCTGTATTTTACACAGCGTGAATTCAAAGTCGATTTTGCCAGAGGAATGTTGCCTGTATCAGTATATAGTAACGTTTACCTTATTTCTGGCAGAATTGACTCTGAATTTACCCTGTGTAAAATACAGCGTGATATAAAGGAATACAGGACAGGCGTGGAATACAGTGTGTTCCCCTCCGACTTTTATGGAAATCTTTGAGAAAAATATCATCATACCTCCATTTTTGAAATTTTTTGAACTTGCATTCACTCCGAAACCCTCCTCATAGAATTCCAAAATCGAGCCAATTTCTGCCAATAATCGCTCAGATTTTTGAGCGAGTTTCATAGTCAGAGTTTAATAGAAAAACCTAAACATTTATTAGAAAGTAAAAAAATTGATTTTTATTCTTTTTAGGTCCAAACATGGTCTTTAATTTGGTTTTAGATGTTTGATCGAAGATGTTTTTCTTCCTTTTCAAAATTTCCGCTACTTGGAACTATAATTTAACTAGCTCTGTTTTATACGCATATCATCCTTTCAATCTTATTTGCTCAAAATAGTCTTCAGAACACACCGATCACTGTTATTCGTCCCGTTTACGTGGCAAAACCGTTCCTTCCACAACACAATCGACCCCGTTGACAAAGGCCGCAAAAAACAAACAATCACCAGCCCACCTTTTAATTTGCTTACACGCCTGATTTTATTTTTCAAGCCCTCTCTCCTGACTACAAGGTCGCCCTCGCGGTCTTTTAAACGCAGCCAAGACCCCAATGTTGACATTGTTTTTTTAGTTACGCAACACGTTTGAAATGATTCTGGCCCTCGCTCCTTTTGACTATCGAACCCGCGGTCACCGCGAAGGAACATGTACATTTCCGGATTGGACTTGAAATGCATTTGGGTGCATGCATTTCGGGGCTCATTTGAAAATCGGCTTAGCTCCTTTAATCGACCGTGAGTTCATTTTCCTTTCCCGCGGGGCTCACTACGAGCTGTTGGAGTGTGCCTCTATGATTTATTCTTCTTACATATACCTGTGTGTTCGCTCTCTCACTCGGCGAGATTTTGACGAACGTTGCCAAGTTTTCGAAGGATATCAATCGAGCCATTTTGCGATTGGATGTGAAAAAGGCTCTTTTATTCTGGGTTTTTGGCATTTTTTTAAATGTACGTTTTATTTTTTTCTTTTGCAATGAAAGTTAAACGCCATAAATTGCCAAATGGATGGTTGTGTAAGCAATAGAAAATTAGCTAAAAATTAAAGAAATAAAAAAGTTATAAAAATAAGAAATTTCAAATAAAAATGATATAATGTATAGTCTTAAATACATGGACTGCATTTTGCAATTTGAAACTACAATATCTGGCTCATTCCAGAAACAACGCATGTGCCACTCGTTTCCCTATGCACATAATTGTTTTTACGGAAGAGGCAGAAATTGTAGTTTCCAATTGCAAAGTGCAGTCCAAATGAAACGAATTTTCAATCCCGAGCACTGTAATTCATTTTATCATGACGTTTTCAGTATTAAGTATTAAAAGCAGCTAAAGGTACTCCGAGAAAATAAAAATTAACGCAATAAAGAGAAATGTGACTAAATAGCTTATGATAGTCTTAATTTTGTTGTACATCATAAAGCATATTTTTGGCGCTGCATTTCTGACGAAACATCCAACACTGGAGCATAGTTCCAGTGAAAATGAACCCCATCATTTGTGGGCTAGTGGTACGGTTATGAATCTTGCCATTTCATACCATCCTTACACTGTGAGAATGTGCTATCGTCATGCTTTGTCTGTAAACAATTTGCGTGATAAAGTGCCACCTATGATGGATATTGCTTTCACCCTGTTTGTTCGGAATCTAACTCAAGACGCTAGTCTTAAGAGGGAGAGATCGAAGGAGGCAAAGTTACGCACTTAGCGTATCTCGCAGGGTCAAGCGGCAATGTGTCAAGTTTAAGTGGGCTATTATGTAGGGACACGCAAATTCGGTTGCACGCAGACTTCCAGGACACTGCAACAACATACGTCCTAGAGCACTTGTTTCTCGAGGCTGTGAACTTCATCGACCAAAGATGAGATCGGTGGAAAGGAAAGAAAAACATCGAGCCTGGCTCAGTTAAATTAAATCTAAAAGGATATTGGTTTTGAGTTTATTTTTAGATGTAGGAATTAAAGCAGTGGGTTGCATCTTCTGAGAAAATCCATCATTCTTATGCTTATCACTGGGTTTGTCTTGAATGGCTTGTTTGCGAGACTCATTTTAAGCATGCATCATATTTAATTTGCTAATAATCTTTTGAAGTTTCGATGATACTTACTTAAAATTTTTCGAGTGCACAAACAAGCAATCTTTGTGTGAAGTTTTTTAAGTTGGTGGGTGACGATTTCTATGATTCAAACCTTGTTTTTCGGTCGCTTTGAAGGAACAGGTCTTACTCTCTGATGTTAATTTTCAGCGAGATAACTGGAATTCGTTTTCAAATTATTACTTAAAAGTTATAAATATATATGAACGATTCATGGTGATGATCTAACAAATAAAAGTTGTTCTTGAAATATCCACAAGTAGCTTTGAGGATACAAATTTACATGCAGCAAATTTCAAATTTTGTTGAAGATAATTGAAATTACGATATGATAATGAGTAGTCCAAAGTACACGAACGAATGCGAGTGATAAAAATTTGCGTTTGCTCCATGACAAACTTTTATTTTTTCCATTTCTCATCCCAATGAATGAATGGGTATTCATTATTTATTTCTGGTAAGATGATTTTCTCGGGTTGACAGCACTATTTTTATGACCACTGTTTTTCATGTAATAAGGTTAAAAATCAACAAAACTACACGAATATAGCCACAATAATTTGACTAAAAAACACAAGAAAAATGGGTTACCAAGTCTAAAGAAAATTAAAATATAAGGACGGGGTCGTTTCGGGATGGGTCAACCCCTTCCTCGACCACGAAAAAAAATATAGAAAAAAACTATAAAAATCAAAGCGGGTTTAGGTATTTTGATTTTTATACTTTTTTAATGTCTTGGTCGAAGAGGGGATAAAAACCACCCTGGAACGTCCTGGGCTTATGTTTTGCTGTTTTTTAGCCTTGGTTACTCGTTTTTCTTGTGTTTTATAGTTAAAAATTAAGTCTACATCTCGCTGCACCGTCTTCAATTTTTCGTGCTTGTAGAGGAGAAAGAGAGAGAGTCTGCAGAAATGTTCCGTAACAGCACTAAAGATTAGAAAAAAAAGAAAGAAATAATCCGGTTTACGTTGATATTGATACACCGGGAACATTAGTCGCCCAGGTTTACGCAGGGGTAAGTTTATCAGACGTCATAAATCCACGAAATATGACGTTTCTAATAGCCGCGCACCCCTAAATCTTAAAGCATGTTTGTATCAGCTGTAAACACCTACACCGCATAATTTCGCCGGCGAAAAAAGATGAATGCTCGGCGGCGTTAAATTATTCGCGGAGCGCAGGCAGGGTCAACTTAGAAATCGTTTCCCCTTGAAATTTTACCTCTTGGTTTCAGCTCAACGGCTCAGCTTGACTTCAGAGGCAGTGTTGCAAAATCCTAACAGAATTGAACCGTTGGCTGCGGAGAGGGCATTTTTTGATTGCGATGTCTTGAAATCTTCACTGCTGATTTATATATTTCAGAAAGAAAACTATTCAGTGAATACTCTGAAATTGTTAATTTTTTGCATCGTCAAATCATGAAGAAAATTGAGTAACTTTCAACGAATTCGCTTTAATTATAATTGATGAAACTTTTGAGGAGATTCTAAGACGCTATCCAAGAAATGAGGGACTTGGAGAACAAGGCGCATAAATGCATTTTTTGAAAAAATCGAGATAGTAATAATTTCAATCAAAACTTGTGTTAATGCATGTACAGTGACAAATTCACTTTCAAATTCCAATTTTCATGCATCAAAAAGTCAGTTGAAACTTTCTTTCCGCCATAAGGATCCATGTAATTTCGAAACTTCAAACACGTATTTCTCGAAATGGTAAAAACTGCACTTGTGCGCCTTGTCCTCCAAGCCCCTCAAACGTCTTTTCTGCACCCGGCGCTGAAATTGTATAAGTAATGAAGACCCATTCCCAAATTCCAATTTTCGTGCATCAAAAAGTCAGTTGAAACTTTCTTTCCGCCATAAGGATCCATGTAACTTCGAAACTTCAAACACGTGTTCCTCGAAATGGTAAAAACTGCACTTATGCCTTGTCCTTCAAGCCCCTAAAATGTCTTTTCTGCACCCGGCGCTGAAATTGTATAAGCAATAAAGACCCATTCACCGAAGATGTGCCCATTTTTGTTTTTTGTTGTTTGTCGAACAACGTCATTTCGAGCATAAAGTTTGACACAGATAAAAAAAATTAAATGGACTGCATCTTGCAATTTGGAACTATAAATTCTGGCTCAACTGAAAAAAAAAACACTTCTGTGCATAGGGAAACTAATGGCACATACATTGTTTTTAAACCGGGCCAAAATTTATAGCTCCAAATTGCAAAATGCAGTCCAAATAATGCTCATCTTAAAAATAGCGGAGGAAGGGGGAACTATTTCTACCAGTGTGTGTAAACAGGTGCTCTGGGAGTCGACTCACACAATCCGCGAGGGAGGAGCCGCGATCCTCACTAGATGGAAGTGAAACAAAAGCGCCTACTGCTGGAAACCCCGCGTTATTAATTATCCTTACCTGGCGAGAGATCATTGGAGCGTACTCCTGGGTCCGAGGGCCCATGTTTTCAGCGCGGGTGATAGGATACGGGTCCTGATCCTAGAGATGGAGCAGCATCCGTGGATGCCCGTGGGGCCGGGGCCGGCCTTCCCTTTTTTCGTCTCGGCTCCGTCGCCCGCATCCCCCCCCCCTTCGCCGCCCTGACCTCCGGCACGGGAACATGGTGGCTTCTCCCGGTCTGGTCATCCGTATCCTGGATTCTTCCTCCGTCGTCGTGTCCTGGGAAAATTAAATTAAAGTAATTAGGGAGCGTCGTTTACAAACTTGTAGCTTTGGCACGGGGATAGAGTATCATAGTAAACCAAGCAGAAGAGAAAATAGGGGACTAAGGGAAATTCTGAAAAATATTGAGCAAAGCACAGTTTTAAGATCACCGAGATATCACTTTGCTATATGGAATAACTATATTTGGTTCATTTTATAATTAACGAACTGATAATTGGATTGTATCTTGCAAAAAGGAACCAAGAGCATTGCAATGGTGCTAAGATTGTGGAGTTCTTTTTGACTTGGAAGAAAAACTCTGATCATCTAAACATGTTTTATTCTACACGCTAAAATCTGTAAATTTAAGACAAAAATCACCATATAAATTTCATATTCTTGCATGATTACCGTAGTTTTATTGCAAAGGGTGAAGTTGCAAAATCTTAGCAACATGGCATTGCTCCTGGTTTCTTTTTGCAAAATACAGTCCAATTATCTGGTTTCATGTAAAAACCAGAAACATTTTAGTCACACATTGCTATGACAAAATATGCTCAGAATATCCTAAAGGGGTTGAAACTACCTCGAACTATCCCAAACTATCCCAGTAAGTGGATTTGACGAGTATCTATAGCCACAGAAAATTATGTTTGTTCCGTTTGCTGAAAGTTGAAAAACATCTTCTACAGAAAAAATGGTAAAAAATATCCAGCATAACTGCACTGGGCTGATCTCGTGTCGAAAGACAATTTTATAACCGCACAATAATTTGAAACGCACATAGCTCCACGTTACACATTTTTATTTATTGAGGTGCTCGGTCATCTTGTGGCGATATTTCTCCCGAACTTCTGAAACTAATTACGATCGCACCCTAAATCCACGGTTCAACTCCTACTTTTGGCAATTAATTTGATGGATCGCCGTAATTTTTATCGATTGCATGAATGACCCACACCCAGGAAGTTCCTCTAGACGCAGACAATATTTCTCTGTATAAAGTTATTTTATTCATTCATTTGTCTAGATTTTTCCTGATTTTAGTCATCTAAAAAGTTGAGCCATTGAAAGCTCTAAATATGAAACATTGGAAGGCCAGAGAATGAAGCCGATCTCAGCAGGGCGACCCATTACGAGCGAGATGAATAGGCATCAAAACATTATTAAACAACAGAAACGATTCTTGGACACCTGAGGGAAGAGAATAGGCCGAAGGTCGATAATCTCTCCAGCTCTGCGCTTGAAATAAAACATCTCAATTATGGAACGAGGGTGGAGTGGGAGTTTATTCTCAAATATTTTACGGAGTGGCCCTATTGCCTAAACGAAAGACTACGGCATGGCTCAGGTATGAGATGAGCAGTGTTGCTAAATTATAGAAGAATTACCTGTTCAAATGAACGGCTTCCTTTTTAAAGTCAAACAGAAGAAAATATTCTAGGATTCATGATCAAAATTTTTAGACTGGGCTGCACTTTCACGCATCTTAAGTGTAGTGCAAGTTTTTCCATTCATTGTCAATTTAACACAAATGAATTTTGTAAAATGAATGAAAAGAACCTTCCAGTTTCTTCTAGTTTTGTCTGAACTGAAAAACAAAATATGGTAGATTTTACCATACTTTGATACGGTGTGTATAGTAATAAACAACGGTAGCATCTACCATATTGTCGTAAGTATCAACCTGAGTTCTGGTGAATACTACTATAAATCTGATAATTCCACTAAATAGCATCACCCTGTAAAAAATTAAGTAGACTCATAGTGGATGTTACCATACTTTCTCTTAAGTAGTATTTTTAGGATGGAAAAATGTTTTTCGCTGTGAAATGCAAGCTGTTTAAGGTGCATACAAGGTAATGCAGCTGGAAAGGCGGTTTGTACTGCTGCGTGTGACTATCAGTGTTTTCCAGATGATGATAATAACGGTCTCGTTTACGGCTGTCAACGATCATCAATTACCACACCGGCATCGTTTACAAGTATGAGGTCGCTCTTTTCACACCGACCAGCCAGTCTGTGGTGGTCATAAGCACAGACCAAGCTCAGCGCTTCCATTGTGCCCTTTTTCGGCAGCAGGCGTGGCTCGCCTGGCTTTGGCGTTCTATTCTGTTGTCAGACAGCCCGAAAAATGCAAACTTTTTAATCAGTTCTCTGATATATGTTGAGCTAAATTTAGCACTGTTTTGCCACTTTAGTGGACGGATCAGAATCGATGAATTGCATTTAAATTTTCCCTCACTTTTCTGCAGGCAAAGTCTAAAGTGTAGCTTGAACTCCATTCCTTAATTTTTCCCTCCAAATTAACTGAAAAATATCAAATCGGTTAAATTGGAATTCTTAAAAATATTCACGGAAAAAAGGGTTGGGGTTAGATAAGTCTCAATTTTCTGATGATGAGAACATTTCCAAGTAATTGTGATAGTACCCTAATAAATTGTGGTGGGACCCAAATTAATCAAATTGACCCAAATGTTGCGGTACTAACCCAATAAACTACCAAAACTAATTGGAAATTTTTACATCATCTAACAAATTGGGGTAGTACCACAGTTTGATAAGCCGTAAAACTTTTTTTTTCATGTTTTAACATCATTCAAAAAATAATGCCGCCTTCCTATTGACTATCATTTAAGGTTATGATTCGGTACATAATTAAAGAGACATTGCACTTGATCAGCCATTCTATCGCTTGTTAAGTGCATTTTTTCGCGTAATTTACATTCCGAAGTTCCGTAATTTACATTACACACGTATAGTAAAATGAACGCGTTGTACCGCAACGTATACACACGAACAGGACCGGGGGAAACTCGGTTACGTGTTGTAGGTTGTAGGTTGTAATAGTACGCGAAGGAGTCTCTTTGCATTAATCAGGGTCTGCAGCCACGAGTGGCGGCAGTGATTTTGCACGGTGTTCGCCCTGAGATGATTTTGCTCATCGCCGCAAGGTCTTCGCGTCTCTCTCGGGTCGGAAGCGACAAAAGTCAAAGAGAAAAAATTATAAATTGAAAAATAAATTAATATCAAGAATGTTAGAACTATACATTTCTTTTATAAATTATTATCTCAAGGATCGGCTTTGCTGTAGTTCTTTTTTCTAATCACTGAATGAACAGATATATCGTTTCTAATTACTAATTAAAGTTCAAAATTTGAATAAGAGTCAAAAATTTTGAGCTGTAATGAGTATCAATACTGAGTGGGGAGAGTGTTCAGCTCGCACTTTTTTCTCTCTAATTGAGCTCAAAATTGTTGACTCTGGTTGAGATTGTTGAACTTTTTGGCCTTGTTTACCCCGCAAAAAAGTGTAGACCCAGCACTTTTTTACTATTTTGTTACGTACCACCGTGCTCGGGCCACGTTTCTTGGTGTTTTTTGCCTCGTTTAACATTTTCGTGTTGACATTCAGATAAAAATGATGGCTCAGATGACTGATGACCCGCAGTTAAAGGCATGCTGTTCATCACAGTGCTGCCATTTCCCGAAATGTTGGAACTCCTGTAATCTTTTGAAATCTTCGAAATTCATAGAATTTTCCACACTTTCCAGCTGTTTTCGGAATTTTCTCGGAAGTTTGGGGTTTTGTGTCAGTTTGACAAATTATTTGGACAAATTTGATTATTTTTTTTTCAAATTTGATGATCTTGGTATCTACACCGAAAAAAAAGTGATGCTGATTTGACATTTTGGATGTAAGAAAACAGTGTGCGAGAACTCACAACATGCTGAATTAACCACCACAGCAGTTAGTGTTACATCTTTGCATAGCTAAAATAACTGCTGTAGCGGTCAGTTCAGCAATGGGGAGTTCTTGCACACTTTTTTACATCCAGAATGTTGAAGCAGCATCCCTTTTTTTCGGTGTATATCCGGGCGTATTTTGGAATTTTTCTTGGATCTTTTGAAAGTTGGAATTAATTTCGGGAACCCCTGAATCTCCGGTAAAATAAAATGGTATCATCGGTTGTTCATCATACTATTGTTTATCGTATGGACAAGTGTCGATCGAACACGGTGCGGTTTTGCAAAGCGGGGCGGCCGGCGCTGGAGCGAAGGAGAAGGCGAGCAAGAAGACACCGGCGAGCAACTCGGTTGGGAGAGTGTTTATTATAATGCATGGATATAATATGAGGAGTTAGTTGGGGCGATCGTAAATTCATCATCGTAGCTTACGTCGATTTGTGCTTGCGTTTAATTTCTACTTGTCGATTACTCCCTCCGTTTTACCTGCAGACCGAGTCAGCGCCCGCTGCATCGCCGGCTCTGAAATCTCCGGCCTGGTTGGTGTATCCTCCGTTGCACATTGATTCATGAGAACGCTTTGTGCCTGACGCACATCGCTTATTAATAACGTGTGTTTTTACTATCCTACCAAAGCCTTGATTCTAAGTGAATTACAGGTCCTCGCACATGAGCCGTCGTCTTTTTAAAGCTGCCTCTTTGTTTCTAATCCTGCTTTGCTCTCTTGCTCGGCTGAAATGTTGAATAGGAAAATAGGAAACATACCAAATTCTACTTGAATAAAGAAGGTTTTCAGGGAATGAACAAACTTTGCACTTTTTGTAAAGGAAAAATTAAGAAATTTCCCGTGAAAGAAGGCAAATCTAGAGAAGACTTAGAAATTACTAGAAAAAAGGATTGAGGAAGTCTATGATTCAACAAGTTTTCCTGGATTTTCTTTGGATTTGTAACTTATTTCTGTTCAAAATGCAGCTTTCCACTGCTCCTTTTTTACTGATTTTAATATGTCTTCACAAGGCAACGATACATCAAGTTTTAATACCATGGTAGTTGTTGGAACTACCGGGTTAGTTGTGTCCTCTACCGCAGTAGTTATCGTAACTACCGCACAGTAGCTGGCGCATTTTTAATATTCTTTTCCGTGTATACATTTTTTGTTCAAAATTTTGCTGATTTTTGCAAGAAATGGAAAAAGAAAAAAAAAAAAAAAAAAAAAAAAAAAAAAAAGCAGCAACATTCTCAGCTAGGAATGCTCAAGGTTCTTTTCGTAA